ACTTAGAGTTCGTTAGAGCTATTTGAAGTACTTCAGTGGTACATTAAACTGCCTTACTTGAAGAGATAATGAATTGCAGTTTGAAGAGTAATATATATCTTCGGCTTAGTTCTTAAAGAGAGTCTAAAACTGAGTTTTAGTTTAGATGTGGTTTTTTCAAATCATCTTTTTGTCGCAAGTCAGGCCCAAGTATTTCATTGAATCACACAGTAGACTCCAGTGCTTTCTACATATCGAACTCAAGTGGTTTTTCTGAACTCTAAAAAAAATATTAGATGAATTTTTCCCACTAAAAAAATTTCCCACTTAGAGGGATATTCTTTATCTAACAAAAGATAGTGGGAATTCTGTATTAGAATAACTCATATTATGTATGCAACATATTCATTGGTAATTAAGCAGCTTTAATTTATTTTCGACAAATTTTAACACAAATATCCTTTACATTATAAGATATAATTTACATGCTTTGTCTGCTGATATTTTGTTTTTTTTTCCACAGGAAAAGACTAAAATTAATGTTCGCTAACTTTGGTTGAACACTTGTGAAAATTACATGAGAAGGACGAAGTGCATGTAGTTAAATTTTTAAGCAGAGGCAACAACGCATCATTAGGTACGGAAAACACAACAACAACAAGTTGCAATGACAAAGGCAATCACAGTTGCACTTACAACAACAGCGGCTGCAACAACTGAAACGACAAGTGGAGAAGGACAACAAAAGGATGCCAAATGAGCTAACAAACAAAATGCTAGTTAAATATGCATATGTGACTGTGTGTGTGTGTGAGTGCATCTGATTGTAAACGTATCACACGCTCAAAGAAAATACAACAGAGGATGTGGGTGTTCACTGTGTGTGTGTGTGTGTTGTTTCGTACGTTCTAATGTGTGTGTTATTAGAGCAAATCAGCTTAAATTGTGGGCACTGATGTAATTTAGTAGAAAATGCAAACAAAGTGCAACAGCAGCAAAACAATGAAAATTGTTTTACAAGCAACTAATGAACACAAGAGTGCACATGTGAACATGTACCGATGGCGAGGAGTGAAAAAGTTCGAACATGGAATAAACGATGTGTACAGGATACACTTTTTTGTGACTTTTTCCAGGATATTAATTTATAACTTTTTTCATGTAATAATTGGCACTGTTATTAGAGATATGCTACACGATAAGCGTTAGTTTCATTCTTCAAAAAATGATATTTATATATAAAAAATTTATAGTCGATTCTCTACTTTCAATAAATTTTTTTTTTCTTCATTGCTGCCTAAAAGTATGCAAAATTAATTTAAACACTTTAAGTCCTACTCCTCCAAATGAACCATAAATAAAGTACGCTTGGCACAACTTCACAAAACTTTGAATCACCAAACTTAACAGAAAGTAAAAAAACAAAAATCATAATAAAGCTGACAAAGAACTTAAACAAAAAATGGAAAACTGCATCAAGTCACCAGAAGTCAAAAATTTAGAAAATGGTTTCAAGTACTCCTCATCATTACAATGTCCTTATGAAAAATATTTTTCGTTTTAGTTAAGGAGGGGGAAAAAAAACTTTTTATGCAAAACTGGACACAACCAGAACGACTAACAGAAGAAGGCATTTCTTTTTTACACGGAAGGTATGTTCAAAACTTTTTACCAACAGCACACCCACAGCTCCTTGAATTGCATGCAATGACGCTTATGACGCATGTGACTTCGAACGTCAGTTTTCGAGCTGATTTTTAAATTTATTGGCAAAAGTGGCATACGTGAAGAGCACTTTTTACTTTGGGGTCCTCGCACAGTGAACATTTTAATAAATTTTATGCACCAAACCAAAAGTTTTGCATGCAAAAGTTTTGTTAATTTTATGTGAAACGTGCTTTGTGAAATTAATATGAAATACTTTCTTTCGTTAAGGAAAAAAATTTTGTCACAATTCGAAAATTTACCGACAGGATTCTAAATTTCAAAAGTTTACTACTTTTTATTAATTTAAACGTATGAATTTATTTGAAAATTTTACAGTTTGATATTAAATTTTGTTTTAAAATTAATTTTTGCATTTATGACATTTTCAATTACTTACCTCACTTTACGTTTTAGAAATTATATCAATATTACAAATCACCTTTTTTAGATTAAAGTTGACCCTGCCCTTTTTTGACAAACATCTGTTGACAAATTAGTTTTTTATGTGGTGAAAAATCGTAGTAAAAAAAAAATTATACTAAACATTTTGCAAATATCAATTATTAATAAAAATAAATTTTTGACTTTCTAGACTTTCTAGTCAATCTCTCACTACTTCATCTTTCACTCTTAGTCTTCAACTGCTTCTATATGTTCCTCCGAATCCACACTTTCTTGTATCTGCTCTGCCCTCAACTCCACAAATACTCCTCCACCATATTCTCAGCTACATGCTACACCTCAAACTCTTCCTCCTCCCCGTCCTCCTACTCCCTTCTTAGCATAATGTACATTTATTTTTGGTTTTACTAAACATATTTGCATGTGAACTTCTGGACATATCCTTGCTCTGTATGACTTCAAGCATTTCGGTATGCCGACATGCATGTTGATTTGCATGCGCTTAAGAAGTTGCTAACTTTGTTGTAAAGGTGAAGTCCTCTTCAAAGTAAAATTGTGCAACAAAATAGTAAATTTTTTGTAAAATGAAAACAGCAGTTGTACATTTAAATGTAAGTCGTTACAAAGTGAATATTGTCAAGTTGATATGCTCTAAATAAAGTCCGGCAGTGTGCTCTACACTGACTCTCAAGTGCCTTACTGATTTTCCAGTTGCAGTTAAGGGGTACTTACGTTTCCGCTTTGAATAGCGACAGTATTTGTTATTATATACTTTGTTATATTATATATATATTGTATATATTTCTAAATAGATTTATTTCATATAAATTGCATTTGTGTATTTCTTTTGAGAGAATTTCTGTTGAATCAGCCACTCTGAAAGAAATGAAAAAATTCCTCTTTTGAAATATTTAATAAAATTTACGAAAAAAATAGTAATTGAACTTTTCCAAAATTAAATTGAAGGAAATGCACTTGAAATATGTCTGGGTGGATTTTTATATTTAGAAAAAAAATATTTTCTAAATACCAAAGGAATAATTGTGTGACTCACTTAAGTTTATAAGATTGTTTAAGGTCATTGAGTGAATATACTTGATACTAAAAAGTACTTGATATGCTTAGAAAAATAATGTATATGATTTTGAAACGCTTACAAGTAAATACTCTTACAAGTCTGTTTATATTTATTAGAGAACAACGTTTTACTATCACAATAAAGAAATATTTTCTTTGTACAAATTTTCGATATATTATTTGCATTTATTTATTCAGCACCGATGATCCTGTTGGCTTCAATTCTACTATCATTACACTATGCACTACAAAATAGTGCCACTTTAGTAAGCATAAGTAAACTTCATCATTAAAGAAAATTCTGGAATGAAAAATTGCTTTAATTACCAACTGGTTGACTTGCTATTCCCTGAAGTTTCAATGAATATGATGATCGTACGGCCTTTAATCTATGCTGTCTTGTTTTATGCTATCCTTCAATTAAGTCACTTCAACCAATTATATTTTTTTGTAATTGAGACTTAGATATACTGGTTAAGTTCGTTTGCCACTTTTAGCGAAATGCTTTAAATTACTGCACATTTGTCAGTGACAATAAAGTTTAATTTTAGACTATTTAGAGGCTTCGCTGGCTGGGTCATGTCATGAGAATGTATGACGATGTTTCAGCACAAAACATAATTAACGCAGCAGTTGGATGTAGAAGACTTAGAGGTAGACCATGTCTTCCATGAGGTGATCAAGTTGAGGGAGCACAATCGACCGTAGCGCGATAACAGATAAGTAAGTAAGTAAGTAAGTAAGTAAGTAAGTAAGTAAGTAAGTAAGTAAGTAAGTAAGTAAGTAAGTAAGTAAGTAAGTAAGTAAGTAAGTAAGTAAGTAAGTAAGTAAATGTAAAGTAAGTAAGTAAGTAAGTAAGTAAGTAAAGAATAAGTAAGTAAATAAGTAAGTAAGTAAGTAAGTAAGTAAATAAGTAAGTAAGTAAGTAAGTAAGTAAGTAAGTAAGTAAGTAAGTAAGTAAGTAAGTAAATAAGTAAGTAAGTAAGTAAGTAACTAATATAAGTAAGTAAATAAATAAGTAAGTAAGTAAGTAAGTAAGTAAGTAAGTAAGTAAGTAAGTAAGTAAGTAAGTAAGTAAGTAAGTTAGTAAGTAAGTAAGTAAGTAAGTAAGTAAGTAAGCAAGTAAGTAAGTAAGTAAGTAAGTAAGTAAGTAAGTAAGTAAGTAAGTAAGTGCTGGATTCAAATGGCCATCAATTGTTAAAAATGCTTTAGAAGTTTTATCCTTGTTATACTGTTTAACGCCTTTGATTTTTAACTTTATGCAGATTTTGTCATTTTTTTAACATCGTAGAGCCTTCAGAAATCATCTTTACGCAGAGTGTTGCCGTGTCTGCATATCCTTGACAGTGGAACTGGCGGCAACACTAAGTTACTTGGTACCAATTGTAATTAAAAACTGAAAAATAAAACTGAAAACTGTAACTGAAACTAATACCTTTGCGCAAAATCAATGGGTCGATAAAAAAGAACAGCCAAACTAATGATTTATCTTAAAGTAAAATTCTATTAAAAAATAAAAAGCTTTAAAGATGAATTGACTTAAATTTAAATTTGTGAAAAACTCAAACAAGACGTAATTTAAAAAAAAAGAAAATTGTATCTATCGTATTTTAAGTTAATCTAACAAAACAGATAAGAGAAAAACTCATCAAGCCTTTATACAATATCCTGAAGGCATGTTAGAATGACAGCAGTATAGCTTTAACCATAAAATTTAATCAAACTCATAAGAGTACATAAGTTAATAGCCTCAAGCAGTGCACTTTAAAATGAAACCAATATTGCAATAAATATAATCTTGCTTACATTTTAAAGTGCCTTCAGGCCACAAATTACTACTTATTCAATAGCATCCATCTGCCACTTGGAACTGTGCAAATATCATTTACCAAGGAATCAACACTAACTAAGCCAGGCAAATTGGCTTGAGCCATCCCTGAAAAAGAAAAAATGTAATCAATTTTAGTCATCAAAGTTTATCGAAACCCACACAAACTCTTAGATACGCGGAGTCAATTTTTGCATATGTGCTTTGATATAGAGAAAGTCCTTTGTGTTGAGCGTTATAACAGCACTTTTTTGTTTGACTCTATCTAAAGTCGTTTCACTTTGGCACCTTCCTTAGTGTAACACTCCTTTTTTGTATTTTTTATTTTTATTTATTATTTTTTTTATTTATTATCCCTATAAGTTGCTTTGGAAAATGCATTTTCATTTAATGGCAATGAGTGTCTAAGTACCAAAGAAAATGTTGCTCATAATGTTGTCCTTACTTTGCAAACATCCACATTTTGAGACATTCTTTATTTGTTGTTAGTGTTTTGTTAAATTTTATTGTCATTTCATCGTATCCCTTGGGAGATACAAAATTTTTTATATTTTTATCTTTGAAAAATGAAACGTTTTGCTGCTGCACAAACTCTTAATCAATGATTTTGTCAAAGTTTTGATATGTTGCAAAATTGTTGTCAATTTTTTTGACTACTATTCTGAGTACTCTTATCTCAGTGAACGAAATTTATTACCAGAAAAGGCAAAAATTATGACAGGCTCACCTTAGGGCATTTCGATTGCTTCTGAGATTCTTTGGACGACCAAAGCTTTTAACGTAAAAGGCAAATAAAATGAAGTCTTATTTTAAATAAATAAATTTTGTATATATATTATATTTTTCTCTTAGTTATATGTATTGAAAATAACTTATTTTATCAGAATTCAATAAAAATTTTTTACAACAATATAAAGTAATTTATTAGAAGTTCGGTTGAAAATTACTCACTATGAAAGCTATGAACTAATTGATGTAGTATGATGTGATTCTATATTTAAATTTAATTAAGGTCTTCAAAATACTACACTCTTTATTTAGATCACTTTATTTTTCAGTATGAAAAATCTTGTAAAATAAGATATTATATTTATTTCAGTTACATGATAAGTTAGAGAGAAATATATATATTTCGTATGTAAATAAAATTTTTGTATAATCAAAATATTTCATCGCTTTAAATTTAGTCAGAATTGAGTGTAATTGATTGTAGCTCCACGTTATATAGTACTAGTATGTATTACTAAAACTGAGTCTGTCTGAATTTAACGAATGTCATACTAAATTAATGGATGATCATCGAAGTAAATGAATGAAATTTCTGAATATAATTGCATTAAATTTAGTCAGAATTGAGTGAAATTGATTGAAGCTCCATGTTATATAGTACTATATAGTACTAAATTAATGGATGATCATCGAAGTAAATGAATGAAATTTCTGAATATAATTGCATTAAGTTTAATTAGAAAGTGTTCCGCGCACTGTATCCAATATTTGCAGACTTTGGTTTAGTCTAGTACATTGATCTGTTAGAAGAGTTTGAGAAAAACTAGATGGATTTGTTTCAACGATTTATTATATTAAATGGTAAAAGTTCAATTTAAGCAGAACACAGTTAATTTGTTCTCACAATAATTATATTATTCTGATTCCGAATTCAGAATAATTATAATCTGAATTAAAAAACTTATAAGCACAGTTTAAATAAGACGTGATGGTTTTTTTAATACGATTTATTGTACTTCGAATCGGAATATACACTTATTCAGAGAATAGTAATTTCATTTACTACTAAAAAAAACAAGCTTCAGTTAAAACAGACAAATATTACAAATCATTTCTGCTTTTAACCTAACTAACAACAGCAGCACTTCAGCTGATTGCGAATAGTAACATAACTTCCCACACAGTTGGCTGTTATATTTAACAAGTGACGTTACTTAGTATGTTAATCATATCAGAACAATTAACATAATGTTTAAATAATATGTTAACAACATTTTCCCTATTATTATTTTATTATTATTATTAAACAACTTATACAATCTTTACTTTGTAATTAATGTTGAAATTTTAGAGATTTTATTTTAATTTTTTCTATTATTATTTTATTTTGTTTTATAAATGTTATTTGCAAGAAAAAAAAATACAAAAACATTTTATATATTTTTAAAATCGTGTGAATTTACTACTTAGAATATAAATCTTAAGCAAGATTTTCATCTTTTGAGTATGGAAAATAAACAAGCCATAAAAATAAAATTTTTACAGTTGTTAACAACCATTCAAATATACTAGAGTCTGTTTAGTTGTGTTCTAGAAATCTACATAATCAAATACATAAATTTATGTACTTGCAAAATTTTTGAAGGAAATGTTAGTTATACGATAACAAAATGGCGCCTTGTCTTCAACTCTTTTCTTTGCCACAAACAACATCCTGTAATCGTAAAGTAAAGGACTTACAATATTTGTTTCCGGCAAGAATATATTGGACATAAATTCAACAAATTTTAGAAACGATTTGGCCATTTTGTCTTGAAATCATTTTTTATTAACATTTAAATATTTTTAAAATACTCTTATTAAGAAAAAGAAAAAAATTTAATATTTTTATTCAATCATATTTTTTCTTTCTCTATCCCTAAACATTATTTTTCTTAAACTTTTATTGAATTTTAAATTAAATCTGCAATTTTTTCTTTATAAAAAGTTTAACTTTTGCTTTGTATTTTCTGGTAATGACTTTATTTTTCTTGCTAAAACTGTAGCTAAAAATAAAAAGTTTTAAATTTGATTTTTAGTCAAATCCTATTTTGGTTAAATCCGGCTTGCCAAATAGCAAAATTTAACCTATATACCCAATATAGCAGCCAATAAGGCCCAAAGCGAATGCTATGGTACACTGTACACTGTGCTCTGTACCATCGAGTCAGTCAATATGTATAACAGCAGTTCAATCAGCATGAATTATGCAAATCTGTAAGTGAGAAAAAATGGCAGCAAATAAGCTTTAAAATTAGGAATAAGGAAGGAGCAGGATTCAGCAAAATTCAGGAAAGTTTTTCCTGTTTTCATTTTGTGGAAGTATCAATTTATTGGCATGTACTGCCAGGAACATATGGCAAAATGGGCGTGCGTCCTTATGTTATCGCATATTTAATTTTAAATTGTGTGACGTTTGATGACATTTAAAAACAACGCAACATCAAATCGATTTGTGGTTAAATTATAAAAAGGTCTTAAGGACTTACAGCAAAGGAAACACCCATAAAATTATGCAAGAAAAACAATAACAAGCAAATTGAAAGGCAACTAACTCCTATATCTCATGCTTGCCTTCAAATTTTTTATTTTTTATATATAATGTTTTATATCCTTGCACAAAAAAGGGCATGTACTTAATTTGAAAAACCATTAGCTTATTTTAAGCATTTAAGTGAAAATAAAAAACAAAAATGTTGAAAAATTCTATCAAAAGAAATGTTTACCAACTACTAGGATATACCCGCACAGGATTGGGGACGAATAAATGGCGAGTTTGGTGTTTGCAAACCAGCGCCAAAATGAAATTGGCCGATAGCATAACAAGGAATTATGTAAATTTTCTTATCAGCCCTTTTAATGTTCCTTCATTTTCGCAATATGTTTCTAGGGAGATTTTTAGCCAGGAGCATTTGGCGCGATGCTTCTGGTTGCCTAAGGAATAAACATATATGATGTACTCTTACTTTATATCTTTGAGCAAATAAATTGTATAGTAAATTTATTTTTTTAAATAAAGAAAACATTTTATGTTGATTAATTACTTACTTACTATTTATAGTTAAATAGTTTCTATTATTTGGTGTTAAAAGATGAGAAGTTCTCGAACGTAAAAAGGACTTTTAAAAAACAAGCATTTTTGTTGAGATAATCCATAAATAATTAAGTTTATTTATAAAATAGAGCCTTTACTAATATATAGTTAAAATCTTAGGACACTTAGACGAATAGTGTCTAGAAGCAGGTTCAAGCTATTGCGGTCTCCATTCTTTAATACACTCGACGATATATACAGTATTAGTTTTGCGCAGATACTTGCTATATTTATCAGATAGAGCCTTTACTAATATATAGTTAAAATCGTATGACACTTAGACGAACAGTGTCTAGAAGCAGGTTCAAGCTATTGTGGTCTTCATTCTTTAATACACTCGACTATATTTACAGTATTAGCATTGGTTAGATATTTGCTTTTATCAATGCATCTAGTCATTCCAATATGACCAATTTTCTACCCACTCGTGTAAGGAATATGGAATTAAAAAGACTTTCTTAGCTAATTGTGAAGGATTTGTTCGTTCTTCCACTACATATTGCCTTACCTATCCTAAACGAGTAGTTGCATAGCTAATGTATTGCAAAAGGCTTTCGATGCGGCCACCTGTGGGTGGAGCGTCAACAACTCTAAAAGAGCGCCAGAAGGAAAGAGGGCCACGAAGAGCACGACTTCAGAAGGAAGTCGAACGCTCTCTTAATAAAACTCAACCAAAATGAGCACCATAGGGGTGTTACAGGCGAACCTGCACCACGCGAAAAGAGCATCGGCTACCTTGTGCATCGGCCGATGCTCGCCACAAAAGGAGTGTCCATAGCGCTTATCCAGGAGCCATGGACAGTCGGTGGGCATATAAAAGGCCTTCAATTTCAATCAAGTAAGTTGATATATAAACGTGACATAGAGTCGGCTAGAACTGCTATACTAGTAAACAAAAATGTTAACTGTATTCCAATTCCAGATTTCATCCAGAGGGACTTGGTGTCGGCCATTTTTGAGGTCCCGACGGAGTGCGGAACACGAGAGATCGTGATCGCATCGGCCTACTTTCCAGGCGATGCAGATGAAGCACCACCTAAACCAGTCACAAACTTGGTAAGTTATTGCATTATCTTTGTAGTAAACTTACATTAGCAAAAGTTCATATTACAAGTCCGTGGAGTTTCTATCTTACTAGTCATAAAGAAATTATAACAGACATAAAAAAGGAATTGTGTTTGATATTTCGTATCATCCTATTAAAAACTACTTCACTTTCAAGTTAAATAAAAATGCTAGTCACATG